ATAGTAAACTCTTGTTTTTTGTTTTTCTTTCTTCATATATGTATGCAAATACATAAATTTTTTTCAAGAACATTTTGCTGAAAAGCATCGTAATTTTTGGATGTACGTTTTGCTTCTCAGTCTGACAATGAATAAAAAAAATCATCACAATTGAGATAGGGTGGGTGGGCGGGGCATATATTTTACCTTTTTTTCTTAATATACATACGGCTTCTTTTCAGAACAAGAAACTTAAAACATGTTAAAAATGCTAATTTTTGTAGAGAAATATTTTCCAAATAACCTCCGCCCTTCGATCCAACAACGAATGAAAAATTCGTTACAATTGAGATCGGGGTCGGTGAGCGGGGCTTAATTTACTTTTTCTTTCTTAATATATGTATGCATAGATTTCTTCCAATTGAAAAGCAAACAAATGAGCCGGTTTTTTTTTTTAAATCGTGTTACCATAAAAATTATCGATGAATAATGGGCAAACTTACTAATTCTAATTACCGAATTTGGAAACGAAAACGAATCCACAATATGTTCAAGTGTTTCAAAATGGTTTCTCATTTTGATTGCCGAAGTTTAGAACTAGCGTTAAATCAGTAAGTAGATTCGTTTCTACACATCAGTCTCCATCTGTGATTTTTTTACGGTGGTACCTTGGCAAGAATACTGGAGGTCTCAGTGTAAAAAAAACGATTTTATCCTTTGATTGAGGTGATATAGTATAGACCAGACTTAGAGAGAATTCTGTTACCATCAATAATTTGAACACGTGAAACCATTTATTAGAATTGGTGGAGGCACCATGATAAAAATGCGATTATTTCCGTTTTTCAGGCCATATCGGAAATATAAATGCAGATTCGTAACCCTGGGAAAATTTCCATTACGACAAACTTTATGGCCGATTTGAACAGTTATTTTAAAATTATGTTAAATTAGAAAAAATATAAAAAGAATTGGTCGAAGGTTATTTCGATAGAACTTCCCTCGTCCCTAAAGTTCAGTTGAACAAATACAGCTTTTCAAAAAACAGCTAGATGCTCTTAATAAGGATTTTGAAACCAACAAGAAATAATATCAACAATCACGGGATAAGGCACAAAGTCATATTACTACATATAAATGAATTAATAATTCCTCAAACAAGTAAAAGACAAATTTTGGTTAATTCAGACTCCATTCTGCAGATCACCTTTTCATAAACCTTATATGCTCTTATTAGTTTTTTCTGTATACGTATATATTCATACACACTTTTCATTACGCATCAATATATTTTAAACGTATACCTACTTAGATAAAGAAATGTCCAGATGAGAAGACGTTTGCACAATTAAACAGGTTAAACGATTTTATGATGTTGGACCTTAATTGTGCTAGTCTTCTCATGTGAACATTCGCTCCTACCCACCCTAACGTGCAAGAACAGCTCTTCCAAATATTGTTGCACGCTCACTTTAAACTTATTGATGCGCAGCGCCAACTAGAATCTAAAATAGGAGGCGACATCGTGGTTATTCAAAGGACCCGATCAGTTTAAAAATTTGTGCTTGGAAGTAGGACAGGTGCACTACTACGAAGCTAGATAAAAAAATGTTCAGTTGAGAAGACCACTACAATTAAAATCGAACATCATAAAATTGTTTGATCTGTTTAATTATCCACGACTTACTTTATATAATACAGCGGCAATATTTTCTAAAAACAGTTTACCATCATCATCAGTTTACAAAGTTCTATATGCTACATGGAAAACAATGTCGATGCTATTGTTGAAAATGAGATGCAGCAAAAGCATTACTGGTAACATATTTAGTCCAGTAAGCTGAAAACGGTGGTGAAAACTGCTGTACGATATTTCCATAAATTATAGAGATATTGATTTTATATACATACGTGATGAAAAATTTCACCAAAATGCCAAAAAGTACCGTTTTAAAAAAAACTGATTTTGCCGCATATAGCGTAAGATGTAGACAAAGTAAATTTAAAATTTCATAACAATAGTTCTGCCTCCAGACTCCGACTATTTTTCATGTACGTGAAGCTCATACTTTTTTTATGTGACGTTTTATCCCTGCAGATGTCCCCCTGAACTTTTTACTTTGTATAACTTTGTGAGACCCTTTGGTGATAAATATGTATTTATTTATTTATCTAGCGTCTATCACATTAAGCACAAACGAAGTTTTAAGTTCAACGGGTTATCGACTTGTTTTAAGTTTTTAAAAGTAGGTAAAGCATAAATTTTCTTTAATTTCTATACCTAAATGGGTGTAAAATCATGTAAAAGATTTGTCTTGTGCATAGAACATCACGTACGTACTGATTTAGTCTTAATGTGTTTGAATTTTTTCAGAAGATAATAAATATTTGTAGTTGCTTTCTTTTAATTTATTTAGGAGCGGCCACGTCTTGTCTGCAATTACCCTCTATCTGAACTTAATAAAAGTAAAGAATAAAGTTGCATGTAATAAATAAAGCACTATAATTTTCGAAATTATTTAACATTCCGTTTGCGACGTCTTATGAATAATGAAACGATTAAATAGCAACCAATTATTAGTTCGATGAATTTTTTCTCCAACAGAATTAATAATTAATGAACGTTCCTAGTGCAATTTCGATAACATTTTTTTCTGTGTGTTATTAGATTATTACTGAAGTAAAGTCGATAATACTTTTAATGCTACAGGTAGCTGAATATCAGGAATTGGCAGTTTATAGAAGCACTTGTATGAAAAATGTAAAATTATTATTTAGAAAAATTGTAGTCTTGTTACGAGAGAAAAACAGTGCACGTATTAAATGCGCATGCACTACAGTTAATGAATGTTTAATTGGTTGTTTGTAGTCTACCATAATGTTATATAAGCACTTAAATAATGGTAGATAACGGTTACTATTATTGAAGTATTAGTACATAGTGAGTAAAGTTATGTATTTTCACATTCAGTGAAATGTTTCATTTAAGTACACGTGTGTTATTGCTGACTGCTGCTTTAATTTGCTGGGAATAATTATTACACATTGTTAAATTTATTAATCCGGGAGTAGTAAGGAAATAATAAGTAAGTGACAATGTATATGTTTACACCCAGAATCTGGTAATTGGATCAATATATTCAAAATTTTTAACCACATCTATTTTTATTATACACATTTGATTTTGAATTCGGATATTCCTTATACCACTCCTCTGGTTGACACTGGATGTTTTTCCTGATAAGCGCAACGTTATTGCGTAAGCATAATTTTTCATAATTTCTGGCCATACAATTTTTGTATAGTTAAATCGCTAAATCTATTAAACGTAAATACTGAGGTTACTACAGCATTTTATGTTTTCGCATTTAATTTTGGTCATCATGTCCCGAAATTTTTGCGGATTCTTCTGTCGCTTTGTAAAAGTCTCAATTTTTTCCATAATTCGATATGTGATTTTTTTTCCTTTCTGGGTAGCTTGAGAAGGATATAAAAAATTGACTTTGTTAAATTCGACTTCAAGAACTTTTCTACCTTTTCATTTATGTGAAAATTCCTGCCATTTTCATTTTGAGGTATTTTAAAAATTTGAATTTAATTTCAAGTAGTTTGGAAACCTGTCGGCAATTTTTTGTAATAATTTTTATACACGGAGTCCAGTCCTAATGTTTTGCAATTTGTCAAGGATAATAAGAATTCCCAAAAATAGGCACAACCTCCTCTTCCGGAAAAATTCCGTTTCGGACAAACAACTTTAAAACTTTGACAGAAAGGGAGCCATAATTAGAACGATATTTTCTCCATTAGGAACCTTCGCTCTTACCTTTGCCAATAGATTTCAGTGGCTTCGAGTAAAAAATTTTAAAGCTGAAAAAAAGTTTTCCATTTTAAAATTTAATTTAAGACTTGAATTATCTGTTTAAGGTTTTTTATTTGTGTTTATCATAATATTCTTTTCAGGGTACACATTCTCATAAATAAACTGCTACACATTAAATATGAAGCCCAAAATTTCTTCACGAAAGTCATTGGTTCATTTTGTTGTTTCATTACATAAATGGAATTTGTTAATTTTGACGCAAAAAAAGATTTTATAAAAATAATTTCAAATGTCTCGGAAACATGCTTTGTTATTATTTTTAATTCTTTAATAACAATAGCTACAAAATTAATTTTTACAACAAACGCACGACTTAATTAAAATAAAAAGAAACACATTAAGATACAGAAAAATAGTACAGCAAAAGGATATCAAAATTTTATGTACTTTACTAATGAGATGCGCATTGAATACTTATTTACAAATTTTGTTAGTAAATTTGACAAATTGTAATAACTTTCGAAATAGAATAATTATAACAAACAGCAAACAAATGAGCCAGTTTTTTTAAAATGGTGTTATCATCAAAAATATCAAGAATTATGGGTAAACTTACTAATACGTGGAGAAACTTTGGAAGTTTTGTCATTTCTCTTTCTGTCAGTTATTCCATTCCATCATGTCTAATTTCTATACTTTTTTTATTACTGCTGCTGTTTCACTTTTTTTTCAAGGTGCAGAATTCGACAAAAAGATTTTTGCAGATACTCATATATTACAAAAGCAAGTGTATTCCATTTTCGAATAAAAATAAGAATGAAAATTGTATAGAGTTGTGGTCAAAGTCCGCACTGAATGTAAAGCTAAAACAAACCTCAATTTATAATTATAATAATTATTGTAGCAGTCAAAGCGACTGCTTTTTTAATGAATCCTCCAAGCTGAATTTTGATAATTATAGTTCTACAGACGTCACTATACTATTATTAATCTAATTACTGTCTAACAGAATGAAATAAATTTTATATTAAGACAGAGGGATGTAATGGACTCTTGCATTGTGAGTATCGTCAGATTGTAAAAACTGTTCTTGCACGTAACATCATTTCACGAATGAAAATGAAAACAAATTCAAATTCGTACCAAGATATAGACGTACGAAATTTTATCACACTCAACATAAAATGTTTCCACTATTTAGCCTATTTCCCCCTTGAAGACGAAAAATCGCAATTTTCCAAGATTTGTTACCGACTTCACTCTACACTAATACTCTGTTTTGCCTACGGACAAGTGTCAAGCGAGTTTGCCAATATGGTGGTAGCGTTTGGAGACATGGAAGCAATGACGGCAGCTTCATTCGTACTTTTGACAAATTTGGTACATCTGGTAAAACTTTATTGTTTCATATTCCAAAGAACAAAAGTCCAGAACTTGATTAACAGCATTAACAGAGAAGAATTTAAACCGAAAAATAGTGACGACTGTAACATATTGTTGAAAGATATTAACCGCTCCAAACGCATCACTAAAAGTTTTTGGCTCATGTGTTTTATGGTTTGCCTTCTATTTGCAATTTTCCCACTTTTGGATAAATCACAAAGTGAAGGTATTAGATTGCCTTTGGGTGGATGGTACCCATTTAACACCAACGAATCTCCTGTGTTCCAAATAGTTTATGTGTACCAGATTTTGGCTACTTACGTCAACGGAATCAGAAATATTAGCATTGACACTTTTATTTCTGGAGTTATAATGGTGATCTCTGGTCAGTTGAGTTTGCTTAACAATGAGTTTCAAACGATTAACGCAAAACAGCAAGATTTTGGACACAATCAAGTGGAAATTAGAAAGCTTTTGTTGAGAAACGTGCTTCATTATAAAAGTATCATTACGTTTGTACTTAAATTGTAGGTCTCAATTTTTTTTTGTAATTGTCAATTTACAGGTTTACCGACGACGTTACCACTCTCTTTTCAACGTGCTTGATTAGCCAATTCGTTGTCAGTGTTGTCATAATATGCATGACGATGTTTCAGTTGAGTTTAGTTCCTGTTTTAAGTTTGCAGTTTTTGTCCATGGCGATGTATCAAGCGTGTATGCTTTTAGAAATTTTTCTTTGGTGCTACTACGGTAACGAAGTCATTTTAAAGGTAAAATATACATACTATTATATTTTTCCTATTTTTCTATGTTTTTCGTTGGTTTGTAGAGCACGAATCTTACAATGTCAGCTTACAGGTGTGGATGGGTTGAGTTTTCTAAAGAATTTAAACAGGATTTACTGTTTTTTATGACTCGGACACAGTTTCCTCTAAAACTGTATGCCGGTGGATATTTTACGTTATCTCTGGATACTTTCATGGCGGTACGATTTTTATTTGTTTGTTTGTTTTATACTGTTGTTGTATATTTCGCAGATTTTGAAATCTAGTTGGTCTTATTTTGCGATGCTCAACACAGTTCATTCGAAGGAAATAGTTTAGATTTTTTAAATTACACTAGATTCAATGTAGCATTTTAGCGCCTTAGAAAATTGTCAGGAATTAGCTGCTCACCTTAGTGCAATAAAAATAAAACTAGATTTTTATTACCGTTATCACCCCACACAGAGGCAGACTCGAATCTTGCCCCTGCAGTGTACGCAAAACTGATACCGTTTAATACGTAGACTACCTGTAGTGCTATAAGTATTATATAAATAATTTTGTTTAAATTTACAGCCTCGCGAAATCACATTTGAATAATTTGAACTTGAAAAAAAAATTCAATCAAAAAATTGTTGAACATAGGCAACCATGTGCATGTTAACGCTTTTTGGGTAGTTGGTAGTCCTGCTGGGGATTTTAGTTAGAGGATTGGTAGGGACAAGATGCTTGGTGGAAGGAGGTGAAAGCGTCACTTTTAGTGTGTTTGTTGTGAGTGTAACCACGTGGTGAGTTAGCTTGTTTAGTTACTTGGTTCAGTAGTTAATAAAAAGGAGAAAGCTTTATTTAACGAAAATTAAACGTAACGTCGACGACGCCACAGCTAATTCTTGCGGTTTTTGATTCAGCGTTTGTAAATTCACAGTTCAGGTTAGGATTTTAATCGTTAACTTGTGCTAACACAATTTAACAGACATTAGATTTATTTAGATAAATCACTTGCTAGGAGATTTCATGAAATTCAGTTAGTCAGAAGTCAGTTTTTAGTTTAACCAAGTTATGAATATCGTTTCTGGACTTAAGTGTGAGGAGCTCTCCTCACAACGCCTGATGCATTTTGTATTTTTGTTTGGGATAAACAGTCCACGAGTGCTAGTTTTTTTATGTAAATATTTTGTTATTGATTGTTTCCATTGATTAAGATTGTCTGATGTCCAATCTTAATCTCAAATAAGAATTATTTTTGTTGTTTAAAATTTCACAAGATTGTATGGCGAGTTTAAATATTGTTTATCGCCTCTTTTGAAACTTTCACACTTGTTCAGTTGTAGTTTAATATCAAAGTTATAACAATTGAACATTTAAATAGAATTGAGGTTAAATAACACAGAAACACGTGGTGCAAGCTGAGTGTACGGTTCCTAGTCGAGCTGGCGTGATTTATACATCTGCACAAAGATGCAGATCGAGATGACATAACCCTGTCGACTTTGCCGAATAGTCGAGACCCAACTGCGAGTTTGCGACTGTAACGGCCTGCTCATTTAGGCACTCTTGGGGTGCTGCTGGTAGGGGAACAGCCACGACCGGGAGCCCCAAACTCCGCTCGTGCGACAACGCCGCCCCCTATGGATATTTTTGGTGTGCTCTAGACTAAAATCGACATAGTTCGTAACTTATACACGTAATAACAGGTGTTTTTGCGTCCAGATACTTTAATTTAGATGTTTATTTGTTTCTATTAAATTTGCGATATTCAAATATTTGTATTGATTCAGAACGTTTAATTTGATTTCATTCACAGTTATTAAAGGTTTTTTTTCTGTAGCTGAGCACTAAGAAGGTCTTCAACCTGCGCACCTTAGTCGCAGCTTTTTTTTTCTTTTGTTTTGTCAGTATAGGCCAGTGCCGATAATTTTTGAGAACAAAAAAAATTAGAACAGGATAATATCCATTGCAAAAGAAAGAAAATATAACAAAAATAAAAGGAAAAATAATTTACGGGCGATCTGAGGTCGGAAAGTGGAAGAGGGTGAGCTTTTAAGGGTAGAAAACGGTTTATCACGATTTTCGGCAAAACTACAAGTCCTATCGAAAAAAGTTAAATAACAAAGTTCTAGGTAATAAAAGGATGTACAACTTTTGTATTTAGACTTTTTTTGCATAACCTCAAAATTTTTTTTTTTCACGAAATTTGGTGAAAGCTTACCTACTTATGTCCCAAACTCACTGTAATTTTTTTGATTCAAAATATATATTTTTCTCCCTTATTTTGATTTAATATCGGAAAACCACCCTAATTTTCAATCGAAAATTCTCACGTCAAAATGTTTGCTTTTTTAAAAAAATCCGTGTGCTTTTTGTATGTTGAAATCTCTAGTTTCTGATGGTGTAAAAAAAGTATACATTACTATGGCAAATTTTCACAGGAAATCCAAAAAAACGAAAAAACTCGAATTCGAACATTTTTTTTAATCATGTAAAATTTTGAGATATTTAAAAAATGGATTACAATTAATCAAATATATTTATAAATGTATAAATGACAATATAACCCTGAATCAATTAAGATTTCGAAAATCAATTGGCAAGAATTAAATCATCTTTCATATTGACAAATCTCCCACCAACAGAAGGCGTTTGTTTCATGGATTTTCAATTTTTTGGTTTATCAATGTAACATGGAATTTTACTTTTTTGGAGTAATTAATGCGTAAATTTTAATAAATAGCTCCAAATTTTACATAATAATTAAGAAACAACTTTTTGAATTCGAGTTTCTTCGTTTTTTTGCATTTCTTGTGAAAATTTGCCGTAGTAATGTATAATTTTTTTTACACCATCAGAAAGTAGAGATTTCAGCGAAGAAAAAGCACACCGATTTTTTTAAAAAAGCAAATATTTTGACGTGAGAATTTTCGGTTGAAAATTAGGGTGGTTTTTCGGTATTAAATCTAAATAAGGCGAAAAAATAAATATTTTGAATCAAAAAAATTACAGTGAGTTTGGGACACAAATAGGTAAGTTTTCACCAAACTTCGCGAAAAATTTTTTTTTTGTGGGAGATAAAATTTAAAAACCAAAAACCCGGTTATTTGCATTTTTCGCATAAATTTTGAGGTTATGTAAAGAAAGTGTAAATACAAAAGTTGTAGATCTTTTTATTACCTATAACTTTGCTAGTTAACTTTTTGCGATAGGACTTGTAGTTTTGCCGGAAATCGTGATAAACCGTATTCTACCCTTAAAAGCTCCCCCTCTTCCACTTCTCGACCTCAGATCGCCCGTAAATTATTTTTCCTTTTGTTTTTGTTATATTTTCTTCCTTTTCCAATGGGTATCATCCTGTTCTAATTTTTTTTCACTTTTTAAAATTTTCAAAGGCTTCGGCACTGGCCTAGTAGAGGAATAAACAATTTTGTGTCCTCCATATATTTGCTGTTTTATTTAGTGGTACTTTTCCAAACGTGGGGTCCACCGTTTCATCTGAACGCATCCCGCCATTTTTCAGAAACACAACGTAGGTTTCCATTTTGTCACGCGATCAATTTTTGAATTTTTCGCGGGCTTTTCAAATTTTTCACCTGTAAATTTAAGGCGGGATGCTTGGGTTATCACACTGTCTTACATTATTTTGTGCAAGGATAAATGTATGTACGGGAATCAATTAAATTAAGTTTTAATAGACAAGGTGTTTATAAAAAATCTAAAATTATACAATTTTCAAATATATATTATAGGTATATAGTTTTTTACAAGAAACACCCTTTATTTTATTACTTGATCTTACTTTTTCTGTCCTCATTCTTCTAGCCTGTCGATGTGTCTCTTAAAAAAGTATATATTTTTTAATTTTTGGAAAAACCTGTAGTTGTTCGAATGTATTTACTTCAGAGGCTAGAAATTCTGTCTAAACTTTAGACCATTTTTTTAAGAGATTAGAGAAAATTCTTTTTGTAATTATTTAATCATTTATTAATTTTTTACTAAATACTAGTACTAAAAATTTGTTTATAGTTGCAAAAATAATTGTAATAAGGTGTACCTGGCGAATTGCTACTTTTGTGTTATCTCGACGTTTAATGCCCCCTAGAGTATGAAAAATATGCTTGCCTGTCGTCTGTGCAGCTTTTTATTAGACAGATAATAATCTTCAAAATTACTAGACTGATTGTTTACAAATTTGTAAAGTCAAATTTTATAATTTTTGAAAATTTGGAATGGAAATATTGCACCGTACTTCAGAAACGAGGAATATATAAATTTGAGGACAAACCTCTTGTGCTCAGAATACAACCACTTATTTGATAATCGAAAACGGAATTAAATGGTGATCGATAAAGTCACACCCGAAACCTCTTTCTTGCTGTTTTCAAATTATTATTTATTTAGACCGGAGATAATTAGCTGTGCCACCAATTATCTTTGTCGTGATGAAAAAATGCCGACCTAGACTAACAAATAATAACCCATTTGACGAAACAATTACAAAACATTGTAATATAAATTTAAAATTATGCAGTTGATGTTGTTTGCTGTCGAACCCGACTAAATAATAAATTAAATGCAAAGGGAGCATCTGGAAAAAATTCTTTGTCTGGGAACATGAATAATTATTGACTGATGAAGAAATTAATTATGGATGATTCGAGTAGACATGGTCTAATTCGTACCAGTTCAGGTAAAACTCAAATTACTCAAACTGTCACAGCTGTTGCATTATCCACAAAAAACACACATCAAACGCATTCTGGTCAAGTGCGCATGCACAAAATTTGCTCTCACGTTTCATTGGTTAATCATGTTCGTGACACTGTAGTCATAAGTATATAAATTTTGTGAGATTTCGCAATTTGTACTATTTTGCGTTATTGCCGGTAAGTGCACACAAAAAGCAATTCATTTAAATTTCGTTCAAATTTAAAATCTTATATTTTTTAGTAACAACTCTCTCAGTGGCATGGAAGCAAATGCAGTCGATTTAACTGACTTTGTAAAACTCAACATCAAGTTCTTGCACGTTTTCGGCTGCTTTTTCCCCGATTTTCACGGACCGTCTTTGAAAAAATGCGCCTACTGGGTCTATAGTGTGGTGGTAGTTGTGTCTCTTTTTGGTTTGTGTTTCGCAAGTCAGATTACCTTTTTCGTAATTAGCTATGGAGACTTTGGGAAAATGATGGAAGTGTCATTTTTGCTGTTCACGAACGTGGCGCAAGCTTTTAAACTGTATTGCTTTTTAAATTATGGGTCGAGGATATGGAACTTATTGCATAAGATGAACGAAAACATATTTCAACCACGGAATGATGTACAGTGTGATATAGTGGAGAGTGACATGAGGGTGTCGAAAATTATAACCAAATCTTATTTGCTTGCCTGTACCTTAACCTGTATGTCGTGGAGCATTTCTCCGTTAACAGAAGAAAGAGGGGGTGGAAAAATGAGGCTACCGTTGAATGGATGGTATCCTTTCAGGACAGACAAGTCTCCAGTTTTCGAGCTTATCTACGTTTATCAGTGTCTATCGACTTGGCTTAACGGAGTGGTAGATATCAGTATGAACACGTTCATATCTGGTACAATAATGTTTATTTCGGCACAACTAAGTATACTGAACGACGAATTAGTAATTTTGGGCGAAAAAGTGGAGGAAGATAGTGTAAGACGACATTTTTGTGATCACCTCCTTCGTTGTATCAATCACTACAAAAGTATTATAAAGTGAGGAATAAATTATTATTAACAAAATTGTTTCTATGTTGTTGACTTTTTAGATTTGCCAATGAAACAATGTCCTTATTCTCTACCGGCATAACAGGCGAGTTTTTAACCGCAGTTATCACATTCTGTATGTCGATGTTTCAGATGAGTTTGGTACCCATTGGTAGCTACCAGTTTTTTGGAATGTGTATGTACCAGAGTTGTCTTTTCGCTGAAATGTTCTTATATTGTTTTTACGGCAACGAAGTCATTTTAAAGGTAAAAGTGTTACTAGTTTTTATTTTAAATAGTTTAATTTTTGTTGTAGAGCGACAAACTTACGCAGTCTGCTTTCATGTGTGGATGGGCTGACGCTCCTAAAGAATTTAAACAAAATCTGATCATTTTTATGACTCGGACTCAGTTTCCTATAGAGTTGTCTGCAGCCGGATATTTCAAGCTCTCGATTGACACCTTTAAATCCGTAAGATAACGTTTAAATAGGATTTTAGAATGAAGATTTTAAATTTCCGTTATGTTTTCAGATTGCAAAAACTACGTGGTCTTATTTTGCTGTCCTTAAGCAAGTTTATGAATAAAGCGAACTAGAGGATCTGAAGTTTAGAAAAATTTTTCAGTTGACAGGAAAATAACTTGGCTTCAAAAACACTAAAACAAAAGTTATAGTTGCAATCGTGTTGACGTATTTTTGAAACATGTACGATTTTAGTGATAGAAACTGTTCCATTGCAATAAAAAAATGTATGCATCGTTCCTTTTTTTTATCCTGTTGGCAAATTGGTATGGTGCTCAGAATAGCGTGCTTAGTTGAAAAAGTCATCAAGTTGGCGTTGCTTGTTGCATACTATTGCATATAATTGACATTTCGCATTGTCAGCTGTCATCGATTAAATTTTGCGTTTATCGTAGACATACGTTACAAGGTTTGAAAAAATCAAGGCCAACTAGATGACCTTTTTAATTGAACACACAATATATTATTTAACAAAAAGATGATGTATAATTTAACATTAAGCCAAACTTTAATTAGCAGACGAGAAATTTATTTTTTTAATAACAGGTTCATCGTGTAGGGCAGATAAATCAATAATCATACCGACGTTATCATTTGTTTAATTGCCTGTGCCCGGATCATTGTCAATTACAATAGTTACAGTATTTTTTTGGTTTTTTAATGTTCCGTTGTACTTTCCTGCACCTATTTTTGTGCTTTTAGATATATCGACATCACTAGTATAAGTATATGTAAAATCAAAAAGTACCTGACGAGTAAAACAGAAATAATATGATAGTGGATAATACATTAATCCGACATAAAGATATACAAAAGAATCAAAAGTAACGATAAGTAGAAGAGAGTGTGAAGTCCATTAAAACTAAACAAAAGGGAGCAATGAAACAAAGAAAATGAGCAAAGTGAGTCGAATATACAAATATAAATGGGGAAAAGGAGCAATTAGAAGGCTGAGGTGTCAAAAAACTTAAGCTAATACTTAATGAATAAGTTGTAGTGTTAATTTGGAGCAAAACCAAGATAATTATTTGAATACCTTCAGCACTGTTGATTACAGTAAGAATTTTTAAATTTTTTACATTTTCGAAATTCCGCTAAATACATTTTCTTGTAGATTTCGGGCCGCATAAGTCATATCCGCTTTCATTTCTTCGATAACTCCAATGGTTTTTTCAGAATCGTCCTTTGAAATATTCAAAAATATACCAAATACCCCAATTTTCGGCCAATTTTCAACAAAATTTTAGAAATTTCACTAAATACATTTTCTTGTAGATTTCGAGCCGCAGAAGTCATATCCGCTTTCACTTCTTCGATAACTCCAATGGTTTTTCCAGAATCGTCTCTTGAAACATTCAAAAATATACAAAATGCTCCAATTTTCGACCAATATTTAACAAAATTTTCGAAATTTCACTAAATACATTTTCTTGTAGATTTCGGGCCGCAGAAGTCATATCCGCTTTCATTTCTTCGATACCTCCAATGGTTCTTGCAGAATCGTGCTTTGAAATATATAAAAATATGCAAAATCTGCCCAATTTTCAATCAATTTTCAATAAAATTTTCGAAATTTTACTAAGTACATTTTTTTGTAGATTTCGGGCCGCAGAAGTCATATCCGCTTTCATTTCTTCGATATCTCCAATGGTTCTTCCAGAATCGTCCTTAGAAATAAATAAAAATATCCAAAATCCGCCCAATTTTCGACCAATTTTCAACAAAATTGCGAAATTTTACTAAATACATTTTCTTGTAGATTTCGGGCCGCAGAAGTCATATACCCTTTCATTTCTTCGATAATTCCAATGGTTCTTTCAGAATCGTCCTGTAAAATATATAAAAATATGCAAAATCCGCCCAATTTTCGACCAACTTTCAACAAAATTTTCGTAATTTTACTAAATACATTTTCTTGTAGATTTCGGGCCGCAGAAGTCATATCCGCTTTCATTTCTTCGATATCTCCAATGGTTCTTCCAGAATCGTCCTTAGAAATAAATAAAAATATCCAAAATCCGCCCAATTTTCGACCAATTTTCAACAAAATTGCGAAATTTTACTAAATACATTTTCTTGTAGATTTCGGGCCGCAGAAGTCATATCCGCTTTGATTTCTGCGATAACTCCAATGGTTTTTCCAGAATCGTCCTTTGAAACTTTCAAAAATATGCAAAATACCCCAATTTTCGACCAATTTTCAACAAAATTTTCGAAATTTCACTAAATACATTTTTTTCTAGATTTCGGGCCGCAGAAGTCATATCTGCTTTCATGTCTTCGATAACTCCAATGGTTTTTCCAGAATCGTCCTTTGAAATATTCAAAAATATGCAAAATACCCCAATTTTCGAGCAATTTACAACAAAATTTTTGAAATTTTACTAAATATATTTTCTTGTAGATTTCGACACACAGAAGTCATATCCGCTTTCATTTATTCGATAACTCCAATGGTTTTTTTAGAATCATCCTTTGAAACATTAAAAAATATGCAAAATCCGCCCAATTTTCGACCAATTTTCAACAAAATTTTAGAAATTTTACTAAATATATATTCTTGTAGATTTCGGACCGCAGGAGTCATATCCGCTTTCATTTTTTCGATTACTCCAATACTTTTTCCCGAATCGTTCTTTGAGATATTCAAAAATATGCAAAATCCGCCCAATTTTCGAGAAATTTTCAACAAAATTTTCGAAATTTTACTAAATATATTTTCTTGTAGATTTCGGGCCGCAGAAGTCATATCCGCTTTCATTTCTTCGATAACTCCAATGGTTTTTCCAGAATCGTCCTTTGAAACTTTCAAAAATATGCAAAATACCCCAATTTTCGACCAATTTTCAACAAAATTTTCAAAATTTCACTAAATACATTTTGTTCTAGATTTCGGGCCGCAGAAGTCATATCTGCTTTCATGTCTTCGATAACTCCAATGGTTTTTCCAGAATCGTCCTTTGAAACTTTCAAAAATATGCAAAATGTCCCAATTTTCGACCAATTTTCGGCAAAATTTTCGAAATTTCACTAAATACATTTTCTTGTAGATTTCGACCCGCAGAAGTCATATTCGCTTTCACTTCTTCGATAACGCCAATAATTCTTCCAGAATCCTCCTTTGAAACATTAAAAAATATGCAAAATACCCCAATTTTCGACCAATTTTTAACCAAATTTTCGAAATTTTATTAAATACATTTTTTTTGTAGATTTCGGGCCGCAGGAGTCATATCCGCTTTCATTTCTTCGATAACTCCAATGGTTTTTCCAGAATCGTCCTTTGAAACTTTCAAAAATATGCAAAATACTCCAATTTTCGACCAATTTTAAACAAAATTTTCGAAATTTTACTAAATACATTCTTTTGTAGTTTTCGGGCCGCAGAAGTCATATCCGCTTTCATTTCTTCGATAATTCTAATGGTTCCTCCAGAATCGTCCTTTGAAATAAATAAAAATATTCAAAATCCGTCCAATTTTCGACCAATTTTCAACAAAATTTTCGAAATTTCACTAAATACATTTTCTTGTAGATTTCGGGCCGCAGAAGTCATATCCCCTTTCATTTCTTCAATAACTCCAATGGTTCTTCCAGAATCGTTTTTGAAAGATTCAAAAATATACAAAATACCCCAATTTTCGGCCAATTTTCAACAAAATTTTCGAAATTTCACTAAATACATTTTCTAGTAGATCTCGTCCCGCAGAAATCATATCCGCTTTCATTTATTCGATAACTCCAATGGTTTTTCCAGAATCGTCCTTTGAAACATTCAAAAATATACAAATTACCCCAATTTTCGACCAATTTTCAACAAAATTTTCAAAATTTTACTAAATACATTTTTTTGTAGATTTCGAGCCGCACAAGTCATATCCGTTTTCACTTCTTCGATAACTCCAATGGTTTTTCCAAAATCGTCTTTTGAAACATTAAAAAATATTCAAAATACTCCAATTTTCGACCAATATTTAACAAAATTTTCGAAATTTCACTAAATGCATTTTCTTGTAGATTTCGAACCGCAGAAGTCATATGCGCTTTCATTTCTTCGATAACTCCAATGGTTCTTCCAGAATCGTGCTTTGAAATAAATAAAAATATGCAAAATCCGCCCAATTTTCCACCAATTTTCAACAAAATTTTCGAAATTTCACCAAATATATTTTTTTGTAGATTTCGGGCCAAAGGAGTCATATCCGCTTTCATTTCTTCGTTAACTCTAATGGTTTTTCCAGAATCGTCCTTTGAAACTTTCAAAAATATGCAAAATACCCCAATTTTCGACCAATTTTCAACAAAATTTTCGAAATTTCACTAAATACATTTTCTTGTAGATTTCGACACGCAGAAGCCATATCCGTTTTCATGTCTTCGATAACTCCAATGGTTTTTTCAGAATCGTCCATTAAACATTCAAAAATAAACAAAATACTCCAATTTTCGACCAATTTTCAACAAAATTTTCGAAATTTCACTAAATACATTTTCTTGTAGATTTCGACCTGCAGAAGTCATATTCCCTTTCATTTCTTCGATAACTCCAATGGTTTTTCCAGAATCGTCCTTTGAAACTTTCAAAAATATACAAAATACCCCAATTTTCGACCAATTTTCAACATTTTTTTTTATATTCGCTGATAAATGGATAGGACAAATTAGCAAAATAAGACTGATGAATGGAACTGAAAACAGAACATAGCTATCCGCTGGCGGCAGCCCTTTATGTAGTTGGCTGACTGGCTGCAAGTCATGAATTACTGGAACGGTCGGAAGTGGCCAGGCAAAGACGAAATTGTATTCTTTTAATAACTAAATATATTTACAGCAGATAACCTTCCAAGCGTAACTTGAAGTGTTTCGAGAAAATGGGGTGACTCGTTCTTAATTTGATCAATAAAAAATAGATAATAAATATTATACAACAAGTGAATTAAACATACGTTTATTCACGAGAAGATGTTGAGATCACAAGCTCACAGTTCGAGTCATTTCTTTGAGTGAATAAATATGTGTTTGGACCCTCAGCAGTCCTGGACGAAGCTTTGGAAGCTATCAATGAAAAAGCGTAGG